AAATGGAGGTAAACAAGCGAACAGGAGCACAACAACAAATCAATGAGAGACGTATCTGATCGCACGTGGCATAGGAGCTGCTCTACGGAGATGTTTCACTCACGCACGCGTGGGCTGTAGCAGCACAGCAGGTCCAGGAGAGATCCACTCAAACAGCTTTCCTTACCCCAATATGGTAGAAATACAATAATATTAAATACAAAAACCAAACCAAACGAAACCAACAAAAAAACCCCAGCAACCTGAATGAGATCTACAGCTGCTTACTGTGTCATAAGAACCCTTTATAATTCAAATTCACCAATTGGTATATTTTTTTCTCTTCTAACACTTCCATTTGCATACGTTATCCAGGTTCATTCCACTTCTCACCGCAGGTGAATGCTGCTCTTTGCATTCAGCGAGGAGATGCAAACTGCTTTTCCTTTCTCATTTCAGCTACAGAGATATGTTCATGTTTCCTGAAGCTGAACAGACAGAAGCCACAAAAGCAGCCTGGATCCCACGAAGACACATTCACCTATTACTCAGGGGTGTGAAAAGAAGTTGTGGAGAGCACTGGACTTCCACAGTGCTCCCTTGCAGCCTGCTGGCCCCCTCCCATCAGCACTCCATGATGCCAGCAGTGCACAGGAGGTTCAGAAATCTCCTGATTTTTGTTCTATGTGACAGGGAACACCCATTTCTCAATGGCGCAGTGGAGACACAACAGCACTGAGCTGTACTTTCTGCACTGAATTCCAGAGCAAATCAGGGAACTATTCACCTGTTACAAAGAAAAGCAGTTCAGCTGGGTTAAACGCAGCTTGCCACTATCTAAACTGGAACACGGTATGGAAATAACACTCTTCACATCCAGCATGGAACTAAGGTGGTGCTTTTCCCAGTACTGACGCCATAAAACCACATTACCTCTGCTGTCCTTGCTCTATGATTAACCATAGGGCATGGAAGCATGAAAAGAGACAGCCTGCTCTCTCAGGACCAGAAGCTGGGGGAGAAAAAGGAAAGCATCATGCTGCTGGGTTACATGTATTCCTGCAACTTACACCAAGCAACAGCTAAAAAAGGATTGGGTTCTGAATGCTAATGTTCAAACCTGAGGAAAATGTTCCATGCCGGGTCTAAAGGTTATCTGCTGCTTTGTTTAGCATATGAGAAGCTGAATGTCTCCAAAACAAATAAATAGTTAAATAGAGAAATGAACAGAAGGCTACTTGTTGGGAAGCAATAAGCAAACCCAGAGATGCAAATTGTTGTTGCTTTCATCACAAGCTGGATAGCATGCAAAGTATTAGGGGAAGATTGAGCAAGCAGTTGTTTGTTCAGCTGTTGTTAACCCCCTTTCTATTGCCAGAGGTTGCCTTGGGACATCACTGCTCTATGCTGTGGCCAAGAAGTTCCACTGGCTGCCTACTGAACTGAAAATGCTGTGAGGCAGAGATTATTCTTCCAACTCTGCTCCTCAGGTTTTGGCAAGGAAACTTTCTAAAACTGCCAAATAAGAAGCAGTGAAGATAAACATCTGAATATATCTGATGACTGAAGAGAATGATTGGTGCCTTCTTCCTTGCCTTCCCCCTGCTGCTCTTCTGAGCCAACAAATCAGATCAGAATTGAAGTATCACTGCATGTTCAAGAGAAGCAGTGAGCTGAAGGTCAGGGGCTCGTTACAGCCCATGTCCAGCAGCAGTGGTCAGAAACCTGTGAAGGATTTGAGAGCACTGTAATGTGCTCCATTAGTTTCAGTCCTCTGTTCCACTAAGTCCAACACAAACTCAGATGGAGCATAAGATATTTCAGTAGTGCAAACATCAGAAAAACAAACACCCGAAGAGCATTTTCACACAATTCCATTAGAATTTACCTTGGTTTAATTTTTTTTTTTTTTTTTCCAAATGCAAGATATTCTCAAAGATTGGTGATGGTTCACCAAAACTGTGGAATATCCTTAAATATCCTTTAATATCCTTAAAATACAAAGAAATGAACACTGATGTTTGCTGTCACATGGATATGTGCACAGCTCTAGGCACAGTCTCAGCAATTCTTTGCCTTGATGCTTTAGGATCATCCAAAATCGAGTGGCAATGAGTTAAATCTACCCAAGTCTTTGAAGTGAAATGATCTAGATTTGGGCAGCTCTTGGTGAGAGGTCCCTTCTGCATTAGAACACCTGTGACATGGATTACCAAGAGTGGGAGATTTTTAATTATTACTATAATCTTTTTAAAAATCTCTGTGAGTCAGCTCACTGCACAAAGCTCTCTTGAAATTAGTGCCCAAACACAATCTTTTTTAATCAGTCCACCTGAGTGTGTATGTATGCTTCACAACAGAAGCATACATACAGAAATATTCCAGGGACACCACATACATCCCTGGCACAGCCAGCTCAAGGAAGTGCACACCACAAAGCACGTGGAAATATTTCCACTGTATGGAACCTCTTGGCCAGTCCCTGGTTCTGATCCCACATCAAACAGATCATAAACCAAGCCAAACTTAAGACACTGGGATGCTATTGCAATGTATTTCTATGGCCAAAGAAGTATTTCAGATTTGATTTCATTAAGCGCTCTCATATAAACTTACTGGAGCATGAACCTTTCCATGCCTCTTTGCTACTGAAAATAAATGCTATTACCCTGGTTTCTTTCCCACTGAGTTACATGGGGAACTGGAACATTGCTGTGGCTTCAGCAGCTTTGATCCTAATACAGTTATCTCACACAAAAGTATTCAGACTGTTTTGAGTTCTGTCTTACCTTTAAAAAAAATACACAAATACATTTCCAATCCATAACATGCAATTCTCTGAGATTGGGAAGTTATTATCAGTGAGAGCTGGATACAGCTGTCAGCCAAGTCCTGAAGCTTTCAAAACCTCTCGTACTTCTGTAGCACTCAGAGCTGGGCAGCTTTCAGTTGTTCCCACTAATACCCAAGTAACTGAGGCAAGAATGGAGGAAGTATCCAGCGAACAGCTGACTACAAAGGCTTACTAGGATTTGCCAGAAACTCTTTGGTCTGAAAATCCATCTAGAAACCAACTGAAAGCGGCATTTTTGACAGCGTCAGACAAAGAAACCTCCCTGACTTGGGCAACTAAAAAGAAATATAGGGATTTTCTGTGTAATTTCCTGCTGCTACACTCCACATGGATGGAAGATACTCTGATTTTTTGAACAGCAGTGGGCTCACTGCAAACTGACAGCATTAGAATGGCCAATCCTCTGCCCTGCTCTGGCTCAAGTGTCCTACCAGGTTCTGTAGATAAAGGACCTCAGATTCCTTTCTTTTCTTATCCCCCCATTCTTCTTATTCCAAATCACCTGAAAAAAAAGCCACTGATAACAGAGTAGCAGCTATGGCCTAGCCCAGACACACAAGATTTCCAAGGATGGAATTTCAGTGATACACAATGTTGTTCTGACACCAAATTCACACAACACTTTCTGGATTTGTTCAAGAGCTCTGTCAATATTCTGATGCTATCCCCAAATAAGGCATTGTCATAACAGATTTCTCTCAGAGTCAGAAAGAAATATAACAATTCCCATGTTCTCATGATCTTTTTCAAAACTACGTGGTTTGAATTACATGACTTATTATATTTTGCCTCTAGAAATGGGCAGGACCCAGTATCTTTTCTTGTTGTAAAGGAGAGCCATCCGCTAACCATGGTGCTATATTTTAAACTGAAATACCTTTTCTTTTTCCCCTGTAATTTGGTTGCTTACTTAATAAACTAAAAAATGATCAAAACATCTCCAAATACCTCAAACAGAAGTGTCCTCAGTGTTGAAAGCTGAAACTCACATCTATTACACCATGCAGTTTCTCATTGAATGTTTAAAACAAAAAAATAGAGGAAAAGAACATGGCGTTTAGAGATCCGAATTTTTTCAGAGCCAAGCAGCACCTCATTGTCCAACACTACAGAAATCAATGGAGAACCAGCAATAATTAATTAATTAATTAAATATCTCCATGACTGTATTTGTACAAAGCGGGATTTTCTCCATCCCAATTGCTAGTCTCTGTGAGCACAGATCTTTAGAAAGTCTTTCTGTCAGTTTGCTGAAAGGAATTGCTTTGGTTTTGAATGTGTAAAAAACACGTCATGTTGGTGGATGTTATTCTGATGGGCCAGCTGTGCACTCCCTGCCTTTCCAGCCATACAGGTGGGTTTCCTGGCTGAACTTGTGCTAAACTGAAGGCTCAGTACGCACCTCGTCTTTGTGTTCATTTCCTAATATTGCTTTCACCACCCTAAAAGTGGCAAAAATAATATTGCCCCAGATGAGAAGAACAAGATGGGAAGGAAATGCAGTTTAATCTACAAGACAGACATCATGCGAGTAAGGGAAAATTCATTTTCACACTGAGCACCTTATTTCTTTTCCACTTGGAAACCACACTGGAGATACAGACATTTAAACTGTGTGATTCAAATTTGTCTTGTTTTAAGGAAAAAAATGTTGTATTGACCCAACTGGGAGCCCATACAGCATTGATATGAACCCAAATCCATGATGCATTAGCAAGCAAAAGATCATGATGTCACCACAAATGCTACAATGTCACTGTTTCCAAATCACTGAAGCAGAAAAACAGAGTTATAGGAACCAGAAGGGACAAAATAGGATCTTTTTTTTCCATATTTTTCCTTTGAAGAATAACAAGCAAAGCTATCCAATTTGCAATCAAAATGCTTGTTTCCTATGTTGCTTATAAGTATCACATAAGAATTACATAAAGTGGAATGGTTACAGCCATTAAAATAATTTATTTGGCTGAAATAATTCTGTGCATTTGTTTTTCATTTTTTATGTTGTCCATATCAGCAGTGCGTTATTTCTGTTCACTCATACCGCTGGGATTCAATTTCTTGCTGCTATCTTTGTAATCCTGGTACATTTGTTACATAGCAAAGGGGGTGGGTGAAGGAGAGGAACAAATGATGGGTGAAGCTGCAGCACATAGCACAAGGATACAATCCCTTCCTGGAAAGAGGATTTTGTGGCGAACCATTTCTCCCATAATGCATCCCACAGACCATATATCCACTAGGACAGCAGAGACAGGAGGTGGAGAAGGAGGAAAAAAAGCAAAGTTAACTATGACATTTCACTCCTAAAGCAGGGGACAAAGAGCAGGGTGAGCAGAGCAGTACCAGTCATTTTGTCTTTAGTTTTTTCTTTCCCCCACATCTCACAGAAGCTCAAACAAACACGTAAGTACAAGCTGTGTCAGTTGGCTCAGTGGTAGTGAGCAACAGTGGTGCAAGAAAATCAAAAGCATTACTGTTGGAAAAAGGCTCAATATTAGCCAGTAACAACTGCACCAAATCATGGTGTATGCTGAGTTTACAGTGAAAAAAACTCGATTTGTTTTGAAATGAAAAAGCAAAGCCAACAGCCCAGGCAGTGATTGTCCGAGCAAAGGCCATGTGCAGCTGCAGATTCTGTGGACTCCATCCTGTGGCAGCTCATAGGAGGTTCCCAATGGAACTACTCCTGGAAGCAAAGGCCATGTGGATAAGTACCACACTTAGGGGCTATCTACAACTGTTGCTTGAGGATCTGAACCCACATTCTATCCATATCAGCATGTGCCTGTCAGTGCCCACATAACAACTGGAAAGAACCAGAGCATAAGACTGGTCTGCAACCTTCCTTTACTCCATTGGTACTCAAAATAAATGCTAAAATAGATCATTGTTTCGTGAGTCAAGCACCCACAAGACTGTTTCTTCTCCTCGTGATCCTACATTCAGGCATTAGGGTAATGAACACAGTCACATTATATGCTTGAATTGAGTGTTTTTTTTCTCCCCTTCAAGTCTTGTAAGAAAAAAAATGTCAACTACAGGATGGCACAGTGTGCTTAGAAAGAAAAGATCCAGATTCAGCATTAGAGGGAAAAGCTGCCTTAAAAACTGCTTTACATTCTCACTTTGTGGCCATTTTTTATATCCATGGTCACTTTCTCTTATTTTTCTTCTCCCTTTTTAACCTTCAAAAGTAGTCCAAAACAAACCAAGGAAACAAACAACTCATCTCTTGGTCAAACAAAATAAAGGTGAAACGTTCCATTTGGGAAGGAGGGTACAGGGTATGGGGCACAGGACAGCAGGAGCATGCCTGAGGCTGCAGCAGTTTTCTTCACAGTGATGGCTCTAGGAGCTTCCCCGGGAAGCATAGCAAACCAGTGTTAATGGTACATCTCTAGCCAACCCAGTGCAGAAAGAAAATGAAAGCAGTGAAGAGTCCTTATACAGGCAATGGGCATAGAAAGGAGAAAAAAGGAGGGGAGCTTCAGTAATGTGGCAGCACAGGAGCAGGGAGCAGAGAGCAGCCCTTCTGTTCCTTCCCTGGGAGATACGGCAACAACTCACGGAATTTTCCCAGCTCTACACTTCATCACAAAAATGTCCCTGAGATTTTCTTATTGTCATTTTGAGAACTGAGTGCATTCTCTGCCCTTTCAGGGACGATTACAACAACAAAGACTTATTTACTATTTTTTGAAAGAAAAAACAAGTGAGTATTTGGCGTAAGGAGCTGTAAAGCATGCCGAGCCCAGGTCAAGTCAATAGTGATGCTCATAAAAGTCCTTCAAGAAATATTTCTCTCTTTATAAATATTTTTCTGTACTGTTAGAATCTACTCAATAGCTGTCTACTTTCTTGATTTTCACATTAAAATCTTCACTGTGAACTCACACTCATCACAAACAATTAATGCAAAGACCTCTGTCTCTGATAAGTCTCTGTCAAACAGAGGAGTGGCAGCTTCTGAGGACAGAACCTGAGACCGGGCACTTTTCTCCACTGCATGCTTTATTCCTTGCTTCCCTGCTCAGTCTATCTGGCACTCTGAGTTTAGGTGTAAAATGAGAATAATGTTTAAAGTCTCCCCTTCATTCCTTGCAAAATGTACATTGTCCATGCTTGCTCCTCCATAGCATGTGCACCCTCCCTGCTCTTCCCAACGTTTCCAGGGACCAAGAGTTCCCTAATTCCCTCTTGGACTCTTCAGAGCAAAACACCACTCACATCTGGATAGAAATTACATCTGGATGCAAATATAGATGAATGATTTCTCTTTATTTTAAACTTCAGGGTTTTTTTTTTCCCTTTCTCCTCTCCAATTCTATTTTCTGTTAAGAAGAGACTCAAACTACAGAATTTACACCTAGATCTCAGCCACATTAATTCAGTCAGCAAAATCTGCAACTTTAGTTAAATCTATCATAAAGATAGAAATTGGTTTTGAAATTTAGATATACTCCCAGGTTTGGAGGAATCAGAGAAGGGCCAGGATTCTCTACTTCAGCTTCTTCCTTCCTCAAACAATGCAGAGACCCAGCCCCAAATCCCTTGCACATTAGTCCCAGCAGTTTGCACCTTCATAGCCACAGAAGCAAAACACCTGGTGCTTGGAAAGGGCTCTTTGTGTTTGATTAGCTCAACAATAACTAAGAACGGTTTCTCATTATTCCCACACTGATAACTCCATCCACTATTACACCCCCAAAACAGTAGATTCCTGCAGCACCCAAGAACGAGAACCTCCTCCCCATCACCTGCCTTTTATATTCATGATGTCTTTTCCTGATACATTTTCTGTTTCTCCTCCTGGTTCCCCTACAGCCACAGATCCACCTCACACCTGTGTGCTCCGACATGCAGCCCTACCGTTCTCCTTGTAGCCCATTCCCAGGATGACCTCCGGAGCTCTGTAGTACCGTGTCACCACGTACGGAGTCATCATGAAGCTGGTGCCCGCGGTCCTGGCCAGCCCGAAATCCAAAATCTTCAGCGTGCAGTCAGATTTTACCACAATGTTACTTGGTTTTAAATCCTGCCAAAGATTGTAAAAGAGTGAAAAGAGTGCATAAAGCCATAGCCACGGCAGGGATTGACACTGATTTTTCAGGCCACCCTTAAAATACTCTTGCACTCATCAGTGGTTTCGATCAGAAATCATTCACAAGCATGTAGCAAAAACTCTGTGCCTGTTTCTCTGCAATATCTTGCAAAAAGTGTTGTCCATTTGGCATACCCTGGGGCTGTACTGGTGTGAAATAACTTCACTGGGCTGCTTGAGAAGTTCAGATGAGTATTAAAGTATTATTTTGTGGGTTTTTTTTTTTTTTTTTTTTTTTTTTTTAATGCTGTCAGCCTCACAGAGATATTCCATCTGTCTTATGTGGAGATGGTTTACTGCTTCATTTGTTTTAATAAGAATTCAACTCATCCTTTCTCAGAAATTATCTTGAAACCATATCCACATCTTCTTACGTACATACAACATAGCAAGAAATAAAACCTTTGCTTACTATAAGGCAACATTCCTCTTGTGAACCATTTCAGTAGCCCTATGCTCTTCCATTCATAAGAAAGGGACATATTTTATTTTTTTTCATCTGGAAATACAAAATTAGTACCAGACCACTGTAATAAAGAATAGGGATGTTTATAATCCATTCAGCACTGCCTCATATACTCCCAGTCACACAAACTGATCTTCTGTTGTTAAGGATCACAGTGCTGCCTCCCGCATTCACAGCCACATTTTAAGGAGCAATAACATTTCTGTAGACATTTCAGAGATCATAATCACTTTGGTGATTTCCAGTGCATATTGGTGATTATTATCATTATTTTTGATAAGCACATTTCCTAGGGACAGTTCTAAAGCAGACATGAAGCAACTCTGAATGGGATGGGATGCGATTGGTAAATGCACGGTGATTTTACTGGGGTAGGGCTTAGACCCACAGCACACAAGAAACTCAACAGGTTTCCAAAGTCTCCACAAGGATGGCATTTGTCACCCTGAGTTCCAAACTGGAGTCTCCTTACCCTGTGAATAATTCCTGCAGAGTGCAGGTGCTTGATGCCGCAGAGCATTTGGTACAGCAGGTAGGACATTCGCTCGTGGTCTAGCTCCATCTGAATCACCTGGCACAGGTTGGCATCCATCAGCTCCATCACCAGGTAACTGAATGGAATAGCAAAGCCAGGAAGGTTATCAGCTGTGTTGAGAAGAACCACAGCATTGCGCTCCAGTAACTAACAATGTCAGAAAAGTCACAAGCGTCCCATGCCATGGCCGCTTGGCCTTCAGTAATGGCTCCCACAGCACATGCAGAAACCAAGTGCAGTCTGAGCAGCTCCAACATGCATTCACATATGAAATATCTCCAGAATCCTCCTAAGACTACATGGCTTAACTCAATTATTGGTCCTGAGCTTCTAGCAAATAAACTTCATTGACAACCTCAGCAAAACCTGAACCCAATCCCCTTCAGAAGGAAGTTATAAGGTTCAACACATCAGCAGACATCTCAGAAGCACAGCTTATGTGATCACAAATTGATCAACTTCTGTGCGCCACTTAATTACATCCTCATTGCAACATGACAGCAAACTTTGGGGAGAACATCAGTTTTCTGTTTCTACGTGAAATGCACGCCTCATCTTCTCTCCAGCACTGGTTACCTCCTGTGCTCTGCATATGTCTGCAGGAACAGTACAATGCAGAACATTCATATACTAATACTAAAACCATCCTTGCCCAACTCTGACAACTATTTGTCTCATTACAACTGAATATCCGAGTACAGAATAGGAATATGTTTCCATACCATGCATACAAGATATGGGTAAGACAGAAAGCTAAAAGGAATAGAGCTACACTGCACTGTTTGTAGTTCCATTTGGTGCAGCTTCATACTCTGCACAGCAGAGCTTTTGCAATTGGAGTATGCCCAGCAGAGATGCAGTTGTCCTCTCCACTGAGTATGAGTTACCCAGGCAAGCAATTAAAGGCAGTCAGAGGCTATTACAACGCAAACATGAAGGATGTTCCACATCAATCTCTCTTACAGGAAATTATTTTGGAGTAAATTGCTGCACACTTCTAGCACATCAGAAACTCAGTATTGGCACCTTACAGATACCTTGAACACAGGAATGCAGATAGCTGTGACACAGTGCAGACTATTCATGGACATTTTTCAGAGAGGCTCATAACCTGCTAAGTGTTCTGCTGAGTTATTGCATTCATGGTACACTAGAACACTGCATCTCAAAAGCTTTGGTTTAATTACTTCCCGTATTACTTACACATCCTGGAACTCCTCCAGAGATTTCTGTGGTGTGAAGACATTTAATAAACTGATAATCTGAAAGACAGAGCAAAGCAAAAGGAGGAATAGAAGTGATAAAGATAAAGCAGTCAAACTCATTTTGAAGCACATACTGAAAGATAAAATCTATTTTTCACTGCTCGATTAATACCAACACCTGAGCACATTATGACTCAGTAAGAAGTCAGTAGTATTCAAAATAAAATGCCTCAGATCTCCAAGATGTCTTCAAGATGCAATTGTTATTTGTTTCTAAGAGAAGGATTAGTGATGATGGATAACTAGCCACATGCTCAGGGTGAAGGAGTCCTCTGAATGTTGAGGGCTCAATTCAAAAACTGACTGAGGATCCATCCACAATAACAGCCCACATGGACACACTCAGAGCAGAGGGATAAATCAATGCCTAGAGATGGGGGAGAGGGTGCTAAAGTGACAAGTGAAGTCCTGATCAAGGTGTGATACCTGAGCATGGGTATCCCAACTCAAGAGACACCTCTTTGAGTCTCATACTCAGTGACAGGTGGTTCGAGCCAGAACGCCAACAAACACTTCCCTATTTCCAGAGAAACAGTAGAGAAGAACATGCTCTGCTCTCTCTCCTTCCATCATCCCTACTCTCCTATCAGGGCTCCCATTCGGCACAGTCTTCTCAGATGTACATGAAAGAAAACCACTCACCTATGTGAAAAAGCATTCCTTGATCAGTTTACTTTTCATTTCTCTCTTTCTCTCTTTTTTAATTTTAAATTTTAAATTAAAAAAGACCCCCAAAATAAGAGTTTTCTTCTGAACGAACCAAAACACCAGTCTGACTCCCTGCATAAAACTTACATTTTTGTGATTCACACACTTCATGAGGACCAGCTCTCTGTAAGCACGCTTGGCATGGGTTTGGTTCTGGAATGGTCTGCTGAGCTTCTTAATGGCCACATTTCTATCAAGGACGGCATCATATGCAGCACTGCAATCATGACAAACACAGGGGTTATACATTGTAAAGGAAATCTTTTCCTGCGGCAAATTCCTGAGCCTCAAGACTGCTATTTCCATTTTTCCTTTCCTTGAAGAAAATTCTGGGACAAGGAGAGATTGTCTAGTGAGAGGAAAGAAACCAGTGAAAGGAACCACATCAGCAAGGAAGAGCATGCACCCGTACTTCTGACATCCAGTTTCTTAGGAGTCTAACCTTTATTTTTAAGGGACAGAAATAAAAGATTAATTAACACTAAGTAAAAGTACAGTGAGAACTGGAGGAGAAAGCAAAGCAGCTCAGTGTAGTGGGAACATCAGAAAGGCTTCTAAAACTCCTGATTAAGGACATGTTCACCAAGTGTCTCAATGAACAATTCTCCATTTTTATTTGGAATTCATTTAATCTTTTCCTTATCACATTTTCTAATGGAATCAAATAATTTAATCATTCCTTTAGACCATATCATCCAGTTCCAATTACATGCCTGGAAACAGGACTATTTCTCAAAATTTCTTTCTCGTTTCCTTTTCATAAAGAAAATAAATTGTTATGTATGCTTAATTAAAAAAATTGAGTACATGAAGAAATTCAGCTTTGGTTTGCAAAGTGGTCTCTTAAAAATAGGCTTTTCAAATTCTCCTTTTAAGTTTCAAAATATTTTGCACAACTTTCACGTATTTTGATAATTTTTACCTCTTATGAGTTTGAACCAATTTTTTTGGTTGCCCAAATACGATGACACAAATTCCAGCTTCTGCATTTTATAAATGCAAGTTTGAAATATTCTCAGACTAAAACAGTCCTCAGATCCCATTCCTGATTATTCCTTTTCCCAAGAATGTGGAAAGGTTTACTAAATGTTTTTGCTGCAGCAAAAAAAGCAGCATTGCATTCCCCACAGGGTAACTCTACTAAATCACTTCTTGTTGTTCAAGCAACGACAACCTGAAGCACCAGAGCAACTCTCCAAAATCATGTTTTTCCCTATTAATCCTTGTGTATTGTAGATATTTACTCACATTATCCTACTGACTGTGTACAAAGCAGAAAGCATACAAGTATCAGAAGCTGAGTAACAAAGCCAACAGAAATTTACAAGCACACCAAAAAGTGTTGGCAATGTCTACTTTGAAATGTCTTCTCCTTCTCCACTCTGTGATTCCCAGTAACACTACTCTTACGTCAGAAGCACACCAAATATGTACCCAAAAAGGAACAATTGATTAACAGAGATAGTGAGAAATGTGAGACATGAAGGTGGATTTGTGGCTTTCATTCTCTTTTGGGTTCATCACAGTGGGACATAATAAAAGCAAAGACAAAAATATCCTTATTCTGTTCATAAAATATTATGTTTTATGGAAACAAAAAGTCAGAGGAGTTTAAAAACAGTATCTTTGAATAGCTAACTGTTCCACATCCATCATTTAAGGACATTTATTGAAAATATATCTCAACAGACAAACGTCTGAGCTAATTCACACTGCTTAATCACCCAGCATCTTTAAAAAAGACAATCATAGAACCAGAGAATCACTCGAGTAGGAAGGGATCCTTAAAGGTCATCTAACTCAACTCCTTTGCAGTAAACAAGAACATCTGCAGTTAGATTGGGTTGCTTATAGCCCCATCCAGCCTGACCTTGAGTGTCTCCAAGGACAGGGCATCCACCACCTCTCTGGTCAACTGTGCTCGTGCTTCACCATCCTTTGCGTAAAAAACATCTTCCTTGCATCCAATCTGCTTCTGTCCTGTTTGTTCACTTTTTCTGAGTTTTTCTCTCTCAGGCAAGGCAGGAGATACAAAGGCACCAATTTAAAATCTGCAACACCTTTGTAAGCTCTTGGGAACAATCCATTCCCAGTCCACCATGTAACACAACAGCTTCTTCCTCAACTACAGAAGAAGAAAAAACAACCCCAATAATCCTTTGTACAGTGGTATTCACTTTGAGACACTGGGATCTCAACTGCAGTTCTCTCCTCGCCTTCCATCAAACAGAAGGTGTCCACCTACCTTAAGAAATAAATATGGGACTTCATTGCACTGAGTCAATAATGCCTTTTCCTACTCACTGGAGAGAAGCTTTTGTTCACCAACAGCTAGTGCTGCATCTTAGCACAATGAAATCACAGGTCCTACATGTGGGCCTTCTCTCTGGTGCTTGTAGAGGAAGTCCTTCCTTTGAAACACCAAGGTTAGCACCAATAACCTACCAGCCTTCCTAAGAAAATCTTCAATCATGGGCATAAGTGTGTTATCTAAACAGGTGGCTTAGGGGAGCAGGAGTAAGAGAGAATAATGAGTGCCTGAGAACTACTCTGAAAAAGCTGCTTGTGAAAGGCAAGGCCAAGATGGGCAGGACACGCATCACAAAGTCTGGGCTCCTTTCTCTGTGAACTGTATTAAAACACTCTGCTCACCTACAAAATTATTTATGAATTTATAGAGCTCATTTATTTTGGTAGCGAGGACCATAATTCAACCCTGGCTCCTGCTATAAAATGTTATGTCATAATAAGCTCAAAAATTTTTTTCCAAGTTTACCATTGTATCTCTGGCAGCTGTGCAGAAGTAAAACACAATAAATAAACTCTTTCCCAACAACTGTTCATGACATTTTAAATTGTCATTTAAGGTAAATCCCTTATTTTTAAGGTAAAAGTGAGTGTTAAAACTGTCTTTTAAATAATGTGAAACAAAACAATTTAGCGGAGAAAAAATTTAGCCAGATGTGACAATAAATTTATCAAGACTCATGAGTAATTTCAACTACTTAATGAGTCTTTGCTGGCTCCATTTAAAAAAAAAGAAAAAAAGAAAAAAGCAAATCAAACTCATTTCAGGCTCATGAATTTATACAGATAACCATAAATTGGATCACTGTTTACCAGTGATTTTGTGTGAGAGTTCAGTCATTTGAAGGAGCAAGCAATCACTTGTCTACATACATTAAAAAGAAAAGAACACTCTAGGTTAATGTCCAAGATGCTTTTTGAAGACACTTATAAATACTTCAAAATTGCTCTTTCCCTGCAGTGCTAACACTTTTAATCACTAATATTTGTAACTCCTATTTCAGTCTCCCCCAGAATGAAATACCAGCATGTACAAAGACAAATTGTTGAAACTTTTCTGAAAATCTCTTCCTAGTATGAAAACAACATTCTGACTCACAAAACACTGCAAACTGGCAATATTACACCACCACTCCCTTTGGGGCCAGGTTGATTCTAAGTATATCTCAATACGCTGTTCACTTAATTTCTCCTCTGAATAGCACATACTTTTTCTTCTAGGAAAATCACAGATCTGTGTTGTGGTGAGGCCTCATATGGAGTACTGTGTCCGTGTCTGGTATCCTCAGTACAGAAGAGACATGGACCTGTTAGAGAGCATCCAGAGGAGGGCAACAAAAATGATCCAAGGGACAGAAAACCTCTCCTATGAGAACAGTCTGAGAGAACTGGGCTGTTCAGCCTGAAGAAGGCTCTGGGTAGACCTGATAGTTGCCTTTCAATATCTACACGGGGGCTATAAGAAAAAGGGGACAGACTCTTTAACAGAGTCTGTTGTGAAAGAATAAGGGATAGTGGTTTCAAACTAAAAGGGAGAAGGATTTACACTGGATGTAAGGAAGAAGTTTTTTACATTAAGTAAGTACATTAAGTGTGATGAGGCACTGGCACAGGTTGTCCAGAGAGGTGCTGGAAACCCGATACCTGATGACATTCAAGGTCAGGGTGAACTGGGCTCTGAGCAATCTGATCAAGCTATGGGCATCCCTGTTGATTGCAGGGGAGTTGGACTAGATGGCCTCTAAGGGTCCTCTCCAACTCAATTCTATAATACTGTGATTCAGTTTATTAGGCAGCTTGCGATCTGAACAGCTACCAGATCTCTTAAAAACCATCCTCAAAGCATCCTTCATGCTCAAAAGCATTTTTCCAAGACACACAAACTTCTCACACGACCTATGAAGCATAAACCATGTTCCAGCTGACACTGCACTACGCTGTATTCCAACAATCTATAGTACAAAAGCCTATTTTCACTCTTCACTAAAATCCAAAAATAAAACATTCTGGATCTCAAGTAAAAGACATCATCTGGCTCACCTTGCCCAGACAACACTGTCTGGTGATAATAGAAACATCTATAAGCACCCACATGGTCCTAGCCAGACCAAGTTTCTTCACAAGAAACCACTATATTCTTGATTACTTGCATCCTCAAGTGTGTAAGTGATGTCTGTTGGAAGACTGAGGCTTCTCCTTGATTCCACCATAAATTCAAGAGCCCTCCTAGCTCCTTCAAATTGTTTTTGAAATATTCCAGTATAGCATAACTTTTCTACAAACCAGAGGCAGTGTGAAAAATATCAGACAGTTTCAAAATGGTTAACTGAAAGCTAATGCAGATATTCTACATATAACTTGCATCCAGAAAACCAGCATTCATTCAAATGAAAATACACAAAATATACATGAAAATACACTGACTCCAACATCAGTCTATTTCTGATGATTTTATGCAAATGAGAATACCTCTCCTTTGTCTAAATGTCCATATCCACAGGCACAAGGTGATCTGTCTCTTGCTCTCTCTTAAAATAAGGCAGTTGCTACCTCTCCTCCTCCAGCACTGCAGAAAGGTATCAGTTCCCTGTACTCTCAGTCACTAAGATAGGACATACTTAATAAAAACCAGAAAAACATGCTCAACTCATTTTATCATTGAAGTTTTTTTTGTTTCTACTGCAGACCTAAAACTCATGGCCAAAAGTCAAAGTACGTTGACAACGCTTAGCCCAATAAATTATAAACTCTGCTTCATCCAAGTCTCATTGTCATCACACCTACAATACCACAACAATTTTACAAAAGCACACCACTCTTCCTCACAGACATCTGGGAGATTTACAGTAAGCAGTCTGTACTGTCATCAATAGTAGGAATATCTCTGCTCAGAATCCAGGCTGTTTTCTTTTCTCCTTCTGGCAAAAACCATTTTGTGAACATGGCTAGTGCAAATCCCAGTGAAAGTTCCCACACCAATTTCGCAAGATACCAAGCAGAGGATGTCCAAATCCACACTTGCTCACCAAGTTTTTAGTTATTTCACATGGGCACAATGACATTTATAACAAACACGTCACATGGCTTGCTCTTTTTCACAGATCTTTAGTAAATTATCAGCTCCTGAAGAACTCTATACCTTTACTGTAATGTTTCCACAGCAGGAAAATGGATTTGTCCTTGATGTAAATTTCAGGATAACGAATTAAGACCAAGTCCCTGCTTCTTTTATAGCCACATTCCCTGCTTCCTATGCCCACTACTGTTCCATGAGAGGTATTACTGTCCATGCAAATTCTCTTGCTGAAATCTACCTATGCAATCATTTAAGACAAGCTGCAGGCACTGGGGACATCACCTCCAGGTTAGTAAAAGCGATGCTGCTGCTAGCAGATGGAATCTGGTCCTGAAGTGAGTGCTGAGGCAGTCCCTGACACAGAAGATGAATGTGTATTGTGTAGCTAATCAGTACTGAAGGGTGTGATACCAAATTATTGACCAACTACTACAAGAAAAGTTCCTGTTTCTGAGGATGTGGGCACTGCCATTCTGAGATCAAGTGCCAGGCAAAGCAGAAAACCATTCTCAGCAATCAACTCTCCCAGCACAAGCAAAGCTTCTTATGAGCTTTGAAGAATTGGACAAGACCAAAAGCTGGACAACTGCTGTTACTGCTGGCAGCAGTTTTGTCCTGAACATGGACCTGGCATTTAGCAGTAATAATCTACCTTTTTCACTCAATAATTAACAACTCCTGACATACACTAAAGCAGTCTCTAACAGCTGGGTAAGCCCTCATTGCACCCAGCAAGCTGGCAGTTCCCACCAAATTCTTGCTTTACCATAGGTTCTTAATGTGCTACGCTCAGCTTGTTCATGCCTTTCTGGTAAATTATGACTCACAACAGGTAGACTGCAACATGGCACATGCTAAACAAAAATGATGATCTACCCTATCAGTCACATAACTCTTCTCCATCTGTCCCATGAAACTGTACAGCCTTTTATGGCCTCAAAGTATTGCTCAGCCATTTAGGGAAATTGGCTGTACTTTCCACGTCAGCTTTCTTGTTTTCTCATTTGACTTTCTGTCCTTGGGCATTCCTAACATCTCCTGTCAACTATTAGTATTGAAGACAAATTCACGTTATGTTACAGATCTTACTTAGCTTAACTGCCTTTTTTTTTTTTTTTTTTTTTTTTTTTGAAGAAAAAGACTTCATTTTATTTTATTTTTGCTGTTTTTAGTTGACCCATTTTAAGCTATATTTAGCCCTTTCCTGTTTGAGAACTTATTAGCAGCTACCTTGCTGCAAAAGGTTTCCAATGCAGATGCTGCAGAATGCTCTAGACGTGACCAATTTCTACACAGTGCTCTCTGATTTTTTCTGCATGAATACTGAAATTACAGGGTTTACCCAGGATGTAATTTGCACTGCCTCTGGAAATAGTGTCACAGTTGTCAAGTGCAGTCAGGTTCTTTCTCTTTCTCCCTTGCTAGTTGTGTTTTGCTATGTGGAGAAACAAATCCCATGCTAACATCCTCACCAGCAGCAGAATTTATCAGACTTCTTTTGCCTCAGGATGTTTGTTGCCCAATGCTCATTTTTGCAATTGTAGACAATATCTGTGACTAGCAAAGTGTGAAGAAATGCAAAAGGCAAATCCTACTGAAAAGCAAAGAGAAAGTGCTGATACTCACCAAACTATTCCCTGAGCCCCAGAGCCAATTGGTTTCAAGTTCTGGTAGCGCTTGAGAACAGTGAAGGTCGAGTCACCCACTTCCACACTGTAGAACTGGTTGTCAACTTTGCTTTTGCTCATGTTGTAATGCTTGGCAATGTATGACACATCCACTTGTTTCCCAAATCCCTGTTGTGCAGAAGGGAAGGGGGTTGGGAAGGAAGACAGAAACCCAGGCTGTAAAACATCAGAATATTGAGGAAACACAGTCAGTTCCATTTTAAAATATGAATTCTTGCCATTTTAGGCTACAGAGTTCAATAGCTGAGGAGAGTTTACCAGTTCTGTATTTTTGGGAACCAGAAATGCTGTTTCTGTGATTCTAGCATTTTAGTGTTAGTCCCCACAAAATAAATTATTTTCATGAAAGAAAAATAATACAGATTACTACAAACCTGTTGTGCTTGCACAGAAGATAGCACTACAGAGCTGTAACCTTGCCCATATACACAGGCATTACCAGACATAAAGTTCCATTATGGCCATTTGAGGTCTGCTGGTATCCATTGTTCACCAAAGAATACAGAGTAAAATACGTACTGACTACGAGATAAACATTGTGATTTCATGTCTGTAACTGAGGATTCCATCCTATGTCACACTGAGCACAGGACACAAAAGTTCAGTATGCCACAGAGCTGTCCTGGAGCAGTGGATGATTCACCCAGGGAATCCATGTTCCCCAGATGCACTCTGAAGAGGAGAAATAGAGCCCAAATGTACACCTGCTGCCACACTTGCATCTCTCTTCCTCTGCATTCATTTCCAGTGCTCACAAATGCAACGTTTGAATTTCCCTGATATATATATATATATATATATATATATATATATATACACACACACACACACACATATATATATATATATAACGTTTGAAGTTTATCTGATATAAATTGCTTTTTCAATAAATCCGAATAATCAATAATGCTACATGACTGAACAATAATACTAAGACGAATTTTGATGGGGAAAGGGAAAACAAAAACTTTCCTTGAAGGATACAATTTTTTCATTTAAAAAATACACAATTCCAGTGTTCCATAAAGCTGGCATTAAAAATAGAGAACTGATCCTGCCAATAACTGGGGTTCTCTGGTTTGCCCTGGGATGAATGAATGCCCTTTTTCTGTCAGTTATCCTGCCAGAGTGCTGGTGGTCATTGATAGGGTGGTTAATCCCAGCTGCCTCATTCGGAGGTTTTGAAGTGCCCTAGCTGCAGCCATGCATTCAAACAGAAAATCTCATTTCAGAAGAACAATTAGAAACACTGCACTTACTCGTGAATCAGACACAGGGCAAGGAATCCCCCCTCTCCCCAAATGATGAAAGAAAGAAACATACCCATACTGACACAAGTGCTAAATCCAAGGTTAAAGAGTAGAATAACTCTGAAAGAGGTATGGATTTTTCCCATCTAAAGAAAGAAAATTAGCATCTGATTTGCACTGTGCAGCTTTAGTCTCAAAGCTCCTACTGCTATGAGCAGACAGATGAATAAATCCAGCTTGCTCAGCTACTCCTACCAGACCTGGAACTGAGCAGCTTTATTTGAATAATGTGCTCCTGAATGACAGGAAATAATTCCAGTTCCCTCTGGCTACACTAACACATTTGCATCATGTTTTATCCTGATGTCATTATCAGAACAATGCAGACTATATTCAGCATTAACATCCGTTACTGTAAAACCAATGTTAGGGAAGTGTCAGCATAATCACTGCACTGCTTAGAGAGCCCAAATCACAGCCAGCTTCTCTGGAAGAGCCAGAGAAAGTACCTTGCTCAGGCCTGAGGAACCATTGCCTGTCAGCATCACCAGTACTGACCTCCCCACCTGTAATGTACGTGGTACAGATGTAAATGGGATAAGTTATTTTTGTCACTTTGAGTTCAGAATCCTAAACACATCAACATCACTTCTTTTGAAGTCAGGCAGAGCCTGTGAATAACTGGACTTAGGAACCTCACAATGCCACAGATTGTTTTCTGAAGTGCTGCAGCTCCAGCAGGTAGGTATTTCTAATCCAAGAAAGTCTTAATTAATTGAACAATTATTGTTTGCAGTTCTTCAGTCATTCCAACAGTAACTGAAGAAACATCAACCAACAGGAGCCTGTAGGGTCTGATCAGAACACAATGGTCTCAACAAGCAGCTTTCCCCTCAGTAACACACACTTTTAGAATGATAGAATCAAAGAATCATTGAAATTGGAAAAGATCTCTAAGACCATCTTGTACGAGCATTAACTCATCACCACTACTAACCCATGTTCACAGTTCCACATCTCCACAGTTCTTGAACACCTCCAGGGATGGTTATTCCACCTCCTTCCTGGGCAGCTTTTGCCACTGCATCACCACTCTGAGATGAAATGCTTCCTAATTCACAGATTCATAGAATCATTCAGGTTGGAAAAGACCTCTAAGATTATCTAGATTAACCATCAGCCCATCAGCACAATGTTCACTTTCCTACAACAACCCCTCTATTGTTCACATGCAACCAGAAAAGGTAAAGACAGTTTCATTATTTATGGAAGCTTATGAAAAGTAACACTTTCTTAAAATCTACTTAACATATGAGCAACGAGCTCACATCACTTCTGCTTTGATAGAAAAGACACCCAGAATTACTCTCAAATATCAGGCACGCTAATATGGCTGGAAGTTGACTCTAAGCAAAATGCCTCCCGCAAGTGATGTGCACTTTGGCTGCTAGAGACAGGCAAACCAGGCTTCCAATCAGCTACCCATCTGCCCCCTCTCTTTAAAACTACACTGGTAATAAAATGCAGAAAAATACTCTGCTGATTTTCAGCAGAAAATCAGCAAAATTAAAGCACAACGGGCCTACTGCTTAAGCCCAAAGTAATACTCCCATAAGAATTATAGGTCAAACAATGTAATTTTCCTTGTCTGATCAATATTTAAATCAAATCTCCAAAGCAATGAATTAACAGTGTTATTAATCACGTTTGATCAGATCTCCATATCAGAGTGACAAATAAGCAAATCACAAACGATTTCGAAATCAACTCAAAAGTCACTTCTAAAACAAGGACAAAGAAACGTTAAAATTCAGCTACAAAGGCTTTACCCTTTTTTTACCCAAGGCAAGGAAATGCATGCCCTCAATAGAGCATGCACACATCCAGAAGACAACTTTCTTTCATATTTGGTGGATACCACAACCTCAAGAACAGAGAAACCCTCATCAAGAAGAAACTAGAAGCTCTTCATTCACTATTAACTGGAGAAAAAAAATGGTGCTCACACTTATGTTTACTTGGGAAGTCGTACTGAAAGTCTGTAGATCTTGCCAAAATCTTCTAGAATTTCACTACAGTTCATAAATTTTCAAGTGAGCTCCAAATGAACCTGGCATGTTATGCTACTTGGACTCGAACATAGCAGTAAACATTGCAAGAACAAAAATATTTAGACTCAAAATTCTCTATCCTTTTTGTCTGGGACAGTTTCACAGGTCTTTGTGTTAGGTGAAAGATAATTGCTGAAACACAAACAATGCATCTGAATGTCATTATTTCATGGCTTCTATAAATATTTGGACAACAGAATCAAACTTTCAACACTAACTAGAACTTAACCATCCATGTACAGGAATTTTCTTTGGCCATAACACATTCAAAACTTACAGCATGTACCAAATGTCATTCTCCTTCTTCTGTACTGGGAAACTTCAGATTAAAAGAAGTTAAGCTTTCGGAACTGAACGCACATCTATCCAAATGGGGTTGGCAGCCATAGCTGCACAGTTATTTGCCCAGTATCCCAATGGCTTGGGAGGAAAGGAAATGAACTACCAAGCCTCAGGGGATGGAGGTGAAGGGAAATACTAGTCCTAACATTACCACATGTCTTAGAAACACGTTATTTGTTTTCAAAGAGCAGCTATTGAAAAACAGAGTGAAACTCCACTTCTTGCCTTGCTCATAGTCACAAGATGCATTCTTTTCCTTTTTTCTTTTTTTTTCTTCTTTTTTTTCCTGTTTTACAGTGTAAGCAGTGATAGAGATAAGAAAGCACAACAGAATAACATCACTATTTTCTGCAGTTTGAGGTGAATTGTTTCCTGATATTTTCCCCCCTTATTTACCTACTTCTGCTTCACGAAAGGAGGATATTGACTACTTTTCACTGGTGAACATCTGTTTCTGAACACCATTCCCCCTGTTATTGATAAACTCACAATAGAAAGACTTCTTACAGCTCAGCACTTCACATCCATCTTTTAGCTTCTATTAAACCCACTAATGGCAGTTTAAGCTCAATTGCTCTCATCTACATCTCCAGGACATGCAGAGCTGTCTTAGAGCATGTTAACAAGTATCAACTGAGGAGGAGCTTTCCCTAAATATCAGCATCCATCTTTGCATGTGCACAGAAATGCCTACAGGAAAAGATAAACATTTAAGTGTGCCATGATTCAAGGCTATTGAAAAAAAAAGCAAAACGACTCCGCATGCGTGAAACAAGTGAGGAAGAGAATTAGATGAAAGACTGAAAGACTGTTTCCTCATTTGCAGTTGGCACCATGCCCAAGGGTGTGCAGAATGCAACAGAGCCATCGTTCTGTGCTAGAAGTGACAATGGCTCCCCAGGGCTCCTCTGTCTCCAATTCATCCCAGACAAAAGGCTGGAAAGGAGGAGAGCATGTCGTGGGTAGCAGACAGACAGTGTTCTGTCAGGGTCCAAAATACAAATATCTTCAAGCTACCATTTGACCAAAAGATCAGATGATAAGATTATACAAATGCAAATTCTGAAAGATTGTAAAATCCTGAGGGCGTTCTTGTGAGCTCTGAAAGTGTGTGCCTGTACAGCTGGCAGCCCCATTTAGTTCCTATCCTCCCGACTGAATGACTGCAATTCACTCAGAAGATCCAAGTGCCACAGTTGTGGCATTTACCAAACCTCTGCTTTGGATTTAATAGGCACAGGTTTTGCTGTGTACATTTGGAGAGTCACAGAAGCCTACATTTAAGAAATAGACAGTATCTTTGCACAGAAAGATCTGTAGCACAGTTAGAGATTAAATCTCCCACACAGAACACCAAATGTGTGCACTTACACACAATATTGTAAATTCTTAATCTTATTTTATCAGCCCCGTTGCACCACGTCTCCCCCACTATCATATCTCATTCATAACC